GTTATTCTTGTAGGTATCAGAAGAAACACTGTACCCTCACAGTGAAGAGGATGGAGCTCTTCAGCAGTATCGCGTCAGGAGATTGTCCTGTCGCAATCTCCAGCTTCCCCCTTTAGCCTTCAGGCAGCTGGAACAAGCGGACTGGGACAGAAAAGGTGATTCAGAGACAGTAGCCAGACCCACCAGCCTTCCTCTGAGATCTCTCCCACTAATTGCTATCACAGCTGCTGAATCTGTCAGGTAAACCATTGATTTGGAACTCTATTCTTACCTCTATGTGACAACTGTGAAGCCTGTGTTTTCGCAGCCAATACTTTGGATGTCTGTGACTGACTCTTAAGTACTGAGTAAATTAAGGCAAGTCACATAGACAGAATTGGAACCCAAGGGTGACAAAAAGGTGGCTTTACCATGATCATGGGGTAGTTGTCACAGAAAATGAAGCCAAATATGTGGATCTTTTTGATTTTAAGCATAGCTCATACCAGCTGGTAAAGAGAAGAATGTTTCTGTCTCTTTTTTGGATGAGGGAACTGGTGGCTCCACGTTTGACTGCGTATTAAGTGGCTCAAGTGTTTGGAGAATGCATATGGCCTTGTCTTCCTGAGACTGGACCACTTTAGAATGCAATAAAGAGGTTGCATGTTTAAATGTTTCTGCATTTCCATTCTCTTAAATACCTTGTGGTGCAGTGGTTTTACTGCAGTACTGCAACCAAAACTCTGCTTCTTCAGATACATAGGAAATCTGAATCTTGACACTGGAGCTTAATCTCATTGGCTGCATCATTAGCTGACACACGATCAGTGATTATTTGGGACCAATTGGGGAGAAAGGCAGAGAAATGGTGAGGAATGACATCAAATACAGGGTAGAGACATGATGTAGAATACTTTTGAAGTATTACTCTTTCCTTTCCTTTCCTTTTCTTTCTTTCTTTTAATATAACAGCCACAGCCACCATCTTTGCAAAGGGCAGTTGGTGGCCTCTTCTATAGGCCATGGCTGTGGAGGCCAGCTGGAGATGGTGGCGATGGTGATTACAGGGGGGTAAATGAAGAGAGGTAATGCTGGCAGAGGATGATATGGCATTGGCACATGAGCAAGTAAAAGAGCTCCTGATGTTACGAGCAACATTTCTGGCACCTGTATTCCTCCATCAGAATAGATGTGGGGACACCACTGGCACCTATAATTGTGACAAGGCCTTGTTCCTCTCTTTGTATACATGTTGTGTACCCTATTATGTCTCAATAGTTCTTTAATGTTGAGGGGTGTCTCTAAGCAATCATAGATGTGCCATCCAAAGCCTGGGACACAGAAGTGTTGTAGGCTGTACTGATGATTCACTGGAGTGGTCTTAGCTATAAGCTTTCACCTATAACTCCCAGAGAGCTTCTGAGAGTTCTAGCCCTAAAAGTAACTTTTCTATACTCTGCTTTTATGCTTGCTACTACTCAGCAATGTATGCCACTGCTGCAAGAAGTGGGAAGAGGGATGTCACACCAGCCGAGTAAATTTATCCATCATGCTTGAAGATTCCTGAAACCATGACATGGATGAGTTAGTTTAAATTTGAAAATGCCTGTCCAGGAAGCTTGGTCTCATGCATTACGTATAAGACAGCTGCACTCAGAAACCAATCAATACAGCACAGAAATGGCAAAGAAAGCATCATAGGTTACTAAAAGAAAATACGATGGAGCCTTGATGAATATATCGGTGCTTGCATTACGTTTAGAAGAGGGTGTGTGGAAAGATAGCTTAAAATTGAAATATGCCTCGAAGTAGTAAACACTCCGTGTTATATTGTTAGTGGGCATGCTGATGGACACTCCTGTTTTTCAACAGTATGCCCTATAATAGCTGACATGTACATGGCTTTGTACAACATCCACGTCTCTGTCAGAAATTATGGAGAATGCCATCATCTATATGTTAGGTCATTTTATTTAGTTTTCATTTCTGGGAAACGTATTTGTAACTATATTCAAGGGATAATAACAATAATAACATTCATCATCATCATTATCCATGTATATTATTAGGTAGTAATGCCAAACAAAGCAACAAACAAAACAAATAAAAAACAGCATAGGCAATTACTTATGACTGGTTCTTTTAAAATTGATCACATTTATTGCCTTGTTGTGCAAAATTTAATCTATTGCTCTTTAACAAGGGATGGATTATAGGTACTATGTTTTACCCAAATATCTTCAATTTGGAATTCTCTATGAGGACCACTTTCTGAACAGTTCTGCAAAATCCATATACTAGGTGGAAATCTGTGGGCTTTGGTAAGACTACAAAGGTCTTTGTCTCTTTAATATTGTGAAAGAAGACATAATGCAAACTTTGGTGGAAAATTGCTTAGAAACTTATGCTAAGGTATTGAGTAATTCCACAATTAATACCACCGGTCTGGTTCATGCATATCTGTCCTCACATGGTCCCTCAACCAACAGTTGTGGTGTAAAATGGGTCTTGGATCAACTGTTGGATATGCATGTATGAACTTTGTCAGCAGGCAGAAAAGTTCTCAGGTAGTGGCGTCTATTCCTGAATGGCTCAGTGTCATATGAAATAACATCTTGTAAAACAGGGTAGACTTTCAAGGGATAGATTCTCTTCAGGTCTCTTCATCTCTCCCTTTCTCTCTGGCATGCACATGCAAAAAGAAACCTACCTATCCATCTGATTACCACACTGTGACAGTGTTGTTAGGATTTTCCATCATAGAAACATAAGAAGCTATCTCATGATGTGTCTGATGACTGGTGCCAGTTATTGCCAGGCAGCTGGTCTCTAGGGTTTCCAGCAAGGTCCTTTCCTAGCCGTACCAGGGACCCTTGCTATTCCTTGATACTTTTCCATCCAAGTACAACCAGGTCCTCCTTAGCTTCCAAAAATCATGTGAAATTGAAAGTGTTCAGGGCCGTTGTGTCTGTTTTTGTTATTTCCTTTTTGAATACAGTGAAGCAGAAATTGTCTATGGAAGTAAAACTTACTTATGAGGAGCCTGTCCTTCCTCGATGAAGTGAATCCATGGTTATCACAACATCAGATAATTTCCAAATGCAGTTACAGACATCAGATCCTCTATACCTTGTGCATGCAACTATTACCCTTATGAGAGCCTTATTATCCTTGTGAGAGCCTTGTGTACTGCGGCCAAAACTCTTCTCAAGACCCAGGGTTCAATCTCAGTTAGGTGGCTCAAGGTACACTCAGCCTTCTATCCTTCCGAGGTCAGTAAAATGAGTACCCAGCTTGCTTGGGGGGGGGGCAATGTATAACCTGCATAATTAACTTGTAAACCACCCAGAGAGTGCTTTAAGTGCTATGAGGTGGTATATAAGCAGCACACTTTATGTTGCAGGAATGCAGGCATCTTTCATGCGACCATATATCTTTAGATGAGACTTCTCTCTGTTGTATCCTCATTGCAATGAGAAAGGTAAGGTTGAGTACCCTATATAGTAAACCCAAATTGCTTAGGACTTTAAAAAGTCAAAATCAGTATCTTAGATTTGTCTTCCCAGAAACTAGCTCCCATTAAGCATAATTCTTAAGCACTGGTCCAATATACAATTTGCTGATGATTCTCAACAAGGGCTAAATCTAATATTAGCTTACTAAGAGTAGATTTACTGAAATCAGGTTAGCTATGAATAATACACAGGTACCCTTTGGGGGTCTTCTTTAGGTGAGGCTCATTGGAACTCATTGGCCAACATTTTATTTCATTTTTGTTCATAGTTTTTTTTTTAACAGACACAGTCTTCAAGGGCAACCTTCACATAGCACAAAAACCTGGAGGCTGTCAATTCATATGTGATGAGAACATGATCTCTGGGCTTCTGGCTCCCTGAAGCAAATGAAATGGTTTTTCAAATGACAATAAATAAAGAAAACCCATGTTTCGTCAACTTGCTCTATTATACGCAGACAGCTATTAGGCTGTGTAATGGATGGCAAGCTATTTCAGCACAACCATCACTCTTAAATTTCCTTCTGAATGCTATTTTTAAATCCAAGGCAACAACTGAGACTGGGTGCCATGAGGTTGCCTTCAAAGCTTGTTCCTTGGCATTGCACTCAGGCCAGTGCTTGCTGTGATCTCTCTGTTCAGGCACAGTGTGATTGATTTAATCTGATGTGAAATGTCTCGATAATGAGATGTCAGTGGAAACAACAGGAGAAACTGAAAGTGTGTTTGAAAACAAGTGGGGCGTAGGGAATATACTTGCATAAACTCTTGTACATGTCGATGGGGTAATTATATTTCATATACCAGCTGAGTGTTGCATTTTGGTTTAAATCTAGGTGCTCATCAGAAAAAATTTGAAAAAAAATCATTTCTTGGCTTACTTCATTTCTGCCAAATTGGATTCTGCTTTCTAAAAGATTTACAAGAACCACTTGTAGGTTTCGATTTTCTGCATGCATAGAAAATATTACAGAAAGCAAGGGGAAATGCATAGGCCTTATTCAGTCATGCTGTAAAGTATGTGGAACCCACGTATGTTGAGGGAAGCATGCAAGCTCTGCCCCTCCACCCTCTCTTTTTAAAAATCACAGAAATATGTCTGGCTGAAGAGGGGCAGGCCACCATATCAGGTAATTTCTCCATATGAGCCAGAACCTCCTCACACTCCACACGCGCACACACAGACACACAGAGATCTGGATTCCAGTTCAGAGGGAATAGTTACTGAGATGCAGCTGCTTCCCCCAGTTGAAAGAGTTACTGTACATTCGAAAGCGATGATGGGAGGGGGGACAGAGCTCCTGTGTTTCCCTCATTGCCTGTGGGTTCCACATATCATAAAGCAGTCATGGCTAACTTTTTTGAACCTGAGTGCCCAAAGTGGGGGGAGGGGAACCAGTGGGCAGCGGGCTGTGGCAGAAGTGGGAGTGGTGGAAGCCGGAGTGGCGGCAGAAGGGGGAATCCTGAGCATGGAGGGGCCTCCAGACCCCACTCGGGATCTGCCTCCAATTGTGGCGGCAGAAGGGGGAATCCTGAGCATGAAGGTGCCTCCAAACCCCACACGGGATCTGCCTCCAATCGTGCTCAACCCCTGCCAGTGCCAGCTGCTCTGGATCCTGGCCCACCACCTGTCAGGGCGTTAGCACCACGGCTGCAGCTGCCTCCTCAGGTTTGGCAGCCAGGGGTAGCGGTCTGGCGACTTACGGCTCGCGTGCCCACAGAGAGGGCTCTGCGTGCCAGCTGTGGC